TGGTCAGGGCACATGCCCAGGTTGTAGGCCTGATCCCCAGTGGGGGGCATCAGGAGGCAGCCAATCAATGTTCTCTCTCATCAATGTTTCGATCTCTCTCTCTCTAAAATCAATAAAGACAAAAAAAAAAAATAAGTAAAAATAAAAATAAATAAAAAATAAAATGCAATGCTTTCCTACCATATCATCCCCTCTCTGAGGAAAGCAGTGTCCCACCTCTCCTTTCTTACTTCTCCCAGGGAAGTAGTCATAACACTACCAATTGTGCCACAGAAATGTCTCTGAAACCTGTCAATTCTCCTGTTAGTCCACCCCAAACTCACTTCCTATTCCGTCAGGTCCCATTGTTCACAGCACTCCTGCGCTCGCGAGGACGCGGCATTGGCAATGCTTCCGCAGCCTGCAGCACGGGGCTGCCCACTCTCCAACCGGCTCCTGAACATTCCTTCGGGCTTTCATTGTCCATACTTTTGCACACGCCTTTTCTTTTCTCTTGAGAGTTATTTTTACCAGAGTCTTCCCTAATTTCCTCGAGAATGAAAGTCAGGTGGAGTGTTTGTTAATAACTACAGTGGCCTACACCTGGCTCTGGGTCTGATGCAGAGGGTCTGAGATGTGTCCTGGAAAGCAGTGTTTACAAATTCAACTTTAAATTCATTCTTATCATCTGATCAGTCTAGGAAACATATTCCTCTCTTATCCCACCTTCGGAATGTGATTTTGTTATCTTTAACCTGGGAAGTTCTGATGCCATTCAATCTGGTCCCAGAATGAACATGGGTGGAACAGACCTAAATCCAGCCCACAACATGGAGCCAAGCTCAGTCAGCCCACAGTCTGAAGAAGAGCTACCCAGGCAAGCCTTTTCTAGCTCACCGAAGTTTCAATAGACCTGCACGTCTGTGAACCTGAGCATAAGTGCTTATGGCCGTAAGTCCTGGAGTTTTGGGATGTTTTCCAACACAACCTCCTCATGGCATCAGTTCACTATATACAGGGAATAAATGAAACAAATAAAAGGTAAGATAGTCCATAATTCACATGACAAATAAAACAATTTCCCCTCTCTGAATATCAGTGTATCTTGTATACCCCATTCTAAATCAAAGCTTCACCAGGGTGTCTGGGGCAGGCTTCCAGGTTGAAGAGCAGTCAGTGCAAAGGCCCTGCAGTAAGAAGGCGCCTGGTGAATCTGAGCCAGGGTAGCTGGAGCAGAGTGGGCTGGTGTGGGGGGCTGGGCAGGGAGGCACTGGTGATGTGAGGGTGGGGGTCTGGAGCACTTCATGGAGGGGCTTGAAGGCATTTATGAAGACCTTGGCTTTATGTCTGGAGTGAGTTGAGAAGTCATTGTGGGGTTTGGCCCTGGCTCTGAAGGGAGATAGCAGGAAGGTCAAGGTGATCCTAGGAAGGTCAGTTGGAAGTCCATTGTGATATCTAGCAGAGGGAGCAGGGTGTTAGCAGTGGCGGTTGTGGTGAGGGGTCAGGTTTTGTAGTAGTGAGGCCCACGGCACTTGCTGCTGGGTTGGATGTGGGCGGGATGTATGAAGAAGAAAGGGGTCAAGGGCAATTCCAGGTTTTTAGCAAAACAGAAGCTATAATTATTAACCGAAAGATAATCTGTATGTTCTTTGATTAGGTCCAAAATCTCATGGGATTGTATTCAGGTATAATGGAACTCTGGAGGGAAAGGAAAGTGTAAGAATCATCTTTGGGTAGGTTATGCCATATAGGTAATATTGAGGCAGAGGGATACATCTCACTTTATATGTAGTAAGTGGTTGGCATAGAAAACATTTTATAGCCAAATCTGATACTCCTTAGATTCTACCCCTTTCTTTCTGGTCAGGGATTGACAGAAATATGAAACACCACCTTAGTCACAGGTAGCACACATCTTCATTATGATCTAGGCAATACAAGGTTTCTTTTTGAAAAAATTATTATTTCTTCATAATAGCTATTTCTGTGCTCGTTATCGTTATTGAGTGCTATGTACGATGCTACTTGGTCTGAGAAACAGACTGCTAATGAAGAGAATGTGCACATGCTTGCTGAGCTGCGTGTTAAGTATCTGATGGCGATTCTGCAGTGTGTTTAAAGGGCAATTCTTTTTCAGTTGCTTTAGAGAGTTCATTTGGCATTCTAAAAATGAATGTAATTCTAAAGGGTGGCCAAAATGTATCAATTAGCCTGACATCTAGGTCTTTTTAACAGATCTATAAATTCCCAATTTCCTTTGCCATCTTAACCATGGTAAATCACCCTGAACAAGACCATGCTTTTGAACAACCACCACCTTATTAGCTGAGATCAATTGAGATTAGAAAATGAAAAATACATCAGATGCTGATAATTCTTTATGAAACCACATTTGTAGGATGAGTATTGAATGAAGATTAATGTGTTATTTTTCAGCTTCAACATCAGTGATTTAAAAACTTATTCTCCATATCTTATTGCTGGATTAAGCACTAATATACAGTTGGAGGATTTGCTTGCTTGCAAGTATGATCTTTTCCCTGCTGAGGTTATGTATTAATGAAGAGAATAATTTTTAATTCAAATGTATCTAGCTTTGCATCCCACGTTTTTCTAAAAGTACTACTCATTAAATTGAGTAAAAGTGATTTCTTTTTCCAGTGAATCATAAATTAATGATTAAAACCTTTGTTGAAATTTCTGATCGATTTTCATTACTCTTCAGATAAAACACAAGATCCTTATTAGCCCGTCGTGTGGACCCTGGACTCTGTCCACCTTTTGTCTACCTTTGAGACAATCTTCCAGTACCCTCCTCTCGTCTCCAAGCCCCGGCTCTCCTGGCCTTCCATTGAACCCTAAGACAAAAGACAAGATTTTGGCTTATGGTGTATAAAATTTAAATTCTCTAGCAATTCGAGCTCCATTTTTTCCCACATAGCATATATAGTACATTACTTTCTTAACTCACTGTCTCTCTTCTCCCAGCTAGAAAGTAGGCTCCCCAAAAATGCATGGGCTGCCCTGGCCAGGGGGCTCAGTTGGTGGATTGTTGTGTCTTACACCAAAAGGTTGCAGGTTTGATCAGGGCACAAATGGTAGGTTTATTAATGTTTCTCTTACATTAATGTTTTTGTCTCTCTCTCTCTCCTCCTTGCCCCTCTCTAAAATCAATAAAAACATATCCTTGGGTGAAGATTTTTTAAAAAAGAAAGAAGAATGCACGGGTTTCAGCCTTTCTGTTTTCACTGCTGAATCTGCAGTGTCTAGAACTGCTGGGCATATAAGAGCACTCAGGAGAACGATGCTACTGCCGTCACTGGAAGGTCAGCTCTTTTGAGACAGACTATGCTTGTATTCCAACACCTTGTAGGTAGACACACTCGGTCAAGATTGGTTAAACTGAGCAGCAGTGGGAACCTCAGCAGAATACGTACTACTTCTCAACTCTCAAGGGGCTTACAATCTAACAGAGAAAATACATTCCAAAACAGACATGAAATATTCAGGCAGTCATAAAACTATTACAATACTTATTACAGTTTACAATTCAGAGAAGGTTAGAGCAAAATATGTGTTCCAGATCACAGGTGCTTTGGGTGGCCAGGCAGGAGATGATAAGTAGTGCCTGGCTGTAGTTACTGGGAAATGGTAAGTTCATATGTTTGTATGTGTGAGATATAAACCCATGAGCCTCCTATGAAAATGTCCAATTTCTTTGGCAACATTTGATGCTGGCTTTCCAGTGTTGGATGAAGTGGATCAACCTGCTGCTTCTGTGTTAGTAGGATGGCAGACGAATTGGGTTGCTGATCTTGGGTCTCAAGGTGTATTTGTATAGTAATGGATGGGTGTTTTTTTTTGCCCTTTAACAATCAGTGGTTAACTAACAATCACAAACAGGTTCTGATGAGGCCGGGTAATGTTGCTCAAACAGGGCTGTATTCTGTGGGGTACATACAGCCCTTGAAAACCAGGACACAGACTCCAGTCCATATTCCACTTTTTGGTGGCATGCTCAGTGTCAGCCTTAGTCATTCCATAACAGTGTCCTCTCCACTCACCAAACTCTGTTAGATGGGACTGAGTAGTGAGCATGAACAAATAGCCTTTCTTTTCTCTGGGACTTTTCTCCTTTTGTTACTTAGGTATCTCTGTGAAGGCGCTTGACACAGAGCCAAACTCAACGGCACCCCATTGCAGGTGATTGCTACACTAACCCCCATGCTGAAGCTTCTGCTTCCTAATTACAGGACTGAAGGCAGCAGCCACACTCAGAAGTTCTGACTCTGGGAACAGAGGAGCACCACCCCGGGGCGCTCCAGTCTGCATGAGGGTGATGTGAAAATGAGCCAAGCACAGGGCAGCCAGGCACACAGCCACCTGCCCAGCTTCCTCATCTGCAGAGATAAGCCGCGTCTGACCAGCTGCTCCTAGAGGTGACATACCTGCAGCACAGTGGCAGACCCGTACCTCCCGCCCCCACATACCAGGACACACACCTAGATCGACATACCTGCACGCTCATTCACAAGGACAGAGACGTGTGCACAGGGACACTGCACACACACACACAAGCACGTGCGTGAAATAAAGCATTTTGTTGATCCGGATGTCCCAGCACACGTACACACACACACACACACACTCACACTCACACACTCACACACTTAAACTGACACACACACACACACGCGCTCGCGCGCGCGCTTTCAGGCCCCCACACGACCCCCGGGACACGGGTTTGCTCCCCCGACCCGTGCGCCCCGGCGTGGACAAAGCCACAACTCGGAGGTTCCGCCGGAGTTGCGCCCTCCTCCCGGCTGTCCCCAGACTCCCCGCCGGTGGCGCCCGCCCAGTCCGACTGCAGCGCCCGCCGGTCCGTGGCGCCGAGGGCGGGGCCGGCGCAGGAAATGCCCAGGAGAGTGTGTCACCTGCCCCGACGACTTGTTGATCCCCGGGAGCGCCGCCTGGGAGGTGGGACCGAGACCCGGGACGATCTGGCTCCTGGGGCCCCAGTCCGCCAGCCATGAGCAAGTTGGGCAAGTTCTTTAAGCCCCGCGGCTCCTCTAAGAGCCGAGCGGCCCCCAGCCCCCAGGAGGCCCTGGCCCGACTTCGGGAGACCGAGGAGATGCTGGGCAAGAAGCAGGAGTACCTGGAAAACCGTATCCACCGAGAGCTCAGCCTGGCCAGGAAGCACGGCACGCAGAACAAGCGAGGTAAGGCCTTTCCGAGGGGACAGGTGGTCTGGCCCGCACCTGCCGGCGCAGGTGTGTCCCTCCGCCTTTCTAGGAACTGGCACTGACCGGGGGCGGCCGCAGGGGCGAGCCAGGCAGCTCCTGGGGGCGACGGTGATCAGCCTGGAGTGTTTGTTGGCAATGTTTTAAAAACTCAAAACGAATGCAAAAAAAAATTCATGGTGAACAAAGTATCAATATTTTAAATTCAGACACGCCCTGACCCCCCCCCCCCCTTTTGATCCTGGCTTTTCTGTTGTCCAGGGCACTCCTTTATTAAAAAGAAAAGTGTTTAATGTGTTGTTTTGTTTTGCTTCCATGGGTTTTTAACCCCCATTCCCTTTGAGTTTTAAATACACAGCATGAAAATAGTATTTGTCTCAATTACTGAAATTAAAAAAAAAATTTTTTTTTATCCTCACCCGAGGACATTTTTCCAGTTTTTGTTCAGATAGAGCAGGAGGGAGAGAGAGGAAGAGAGAGAGAGAGAGAGAAACATCGATGTGAAAGGGACACATCGAGTGGCTGCCACCTGCATGACCCAACCAGGGCTGGGGACAAACTGCAACCGAGGTACATGCCCTTAGTGGGAACCAAACCCCGGTCTCTCTGGACCGCAGGCTGACGCTCTAACCACTGAGCAAAACTGGCCAGGGCTCAATTACTGAAATTTTTGGTGGCCCCTTAAATATTGCTCCTGGCTGGCCTCACCCCAGTTCAGCCCTGCTGACCTCGATACTGAATATCAGGTTTTCTACCTGTGTTTGCACATTGAATCACACCTTTCAGCTTGCATGTAAATCTCCAGTGAAGTACATTCTAGCACCATCTGGTTTACCTGGTGCCTCAGCTGTTGTACAGTGGAGACATTATAACAATAGAAATAAGTCAGGGAATTAATTATTAAATTTCCTATCACTGGTTTCTGCCACCCTGAAGGGACTTTGAGTCTTAACGATACTTAGCGTTTCCACTGCACCTTGAACCCTTCACTCTTTGCCAGAGCTAATTGGTTTCTTCACAGCTCTCTCTAGAGAAAATAAATCCCCAGCACCCGTGGAACATATGAAACCAGCGAGAAGTTGAAGGGATTTGCTCTTGTAACTCGAGGTCAGTGGCAGACCCAGAAATGGAAGTGGCCACACAGGACTCTTCTGGTCTCAGGGCCAAGCCTGAACGCCCCTCCTTACGTCATAAAGAGCTTGGGGGTTGCGCTCCCCCTCCAAGGGATGCTGCCATTGTTAAACACAGGAAAGGAATAATGTCTCCTGGGGTTGACCTGGACACCCTGCTGCTCCCATAAAAATACTCCTCGTTCACTTGTGCCCATTTAGTACCAGCAATAAGAAGGCCAAGTTTCATTTTTCTCTGCGACTTCTGACTTCTGACCATATTAGAGTCTGTTTTCCAGTGAAGTGCTGGTTTCTATTTTTACTTTATACTTGAAAATATTTGGGGAGATTATTAAGTGGCAGTTTCTACCAAGAGACTATGCCATTGGGCTTGCCAAAAACTCATCACCATCCTGTCCTTCCTCTTCCTCTCCAGTGTCACGGTGCCTGACATCTGCTTAGTGTTGGTCAAGGTCTTTCCCTTCTTAGTTCCGCCACCCATTTGTATCTGTAGAAAGCTTTCTCTACCGTGGTTGCTCAGTAAATATTGGTTTTAAAAAATCTGAAAACATTGAACATCTGCTGCTAGGAAGTGGTAAAACATGCTTTCAGAAGACAAAACTATAACATAAGTATGGAAACGTTCTCCAGTTGGCAGCACACTGACGTGTACACGAGTGGATGTGATGTGAAGAACCTGCCTTTCTCACATCAGAGGAGTTAACACAGAGGCCAGTATCAAGGCAAATTCTCGGGTGGTGTCAGAAAGCTGTTCACTCTTTGTCATTCATCCTTGAGAACCTGTTGCTGTTAGCTCCCGGGTCTGCAGTAGCCTTGGGCATGGGAAGCGGCTGGTTAGCATGAGGTCATGTGCATTTGGAACTATGGAAAGAATTCAGTCATCCTCTGGAAACATTGTCAATGTCATCATCACCAAATAAGCAAGGTAACTTCATATATACATAGTTACAGACTTCCATTAGCTTCCAGGAATATTTGTACACACATAATAAGGCCCAATATACTTGGTACTAAACGGACCTGTGTCACTCAGCGTCGCTGCTGCAGTGGCTGTAATGTACATGACAGCCAGAGTGACTGTGTGCGTGTGCGGTGAAGCCTTTACTTCTGGAGGTGGAGGGCCGGCTAACTGGTTGTCAAGAATACTAGTTGCGTAGCCAGCTGGGATTGTATCAGGAAGGACCCTGCTCCTGCACTGTGCACATTCTTCAGTGACCTGCTTCTCTGTAACAGAAGTGTCGACAGCATTCGGAATGTCAAAGTGGGTTTTCTCCGTAAAATGAGCCACTCACATTAACCTAAGAAATGTGAGAAATGGGAGGAAAAAGGAAAATATGCCAGATTAATTGAATATGAAGAAAGTGTGACCTGGCCGGTTTGACTCAGTGATTAGAGCGTCGGCCTGCGGTCCAGAGAGTCCCAGGTTTGGTTCCTGCTAAGGGCACATACCTCGGTTGCAGTTTGTCCCCGGCTCTGGTTTGGTCGTGCGGGTGGCAGCCACTCGATGTGTCCCTTTCACATCAATGTTTCTCTCTCTCTCTCTTCCTCTCTCTCCCTCCCACTCTATCTGAACAAAATATGGAAAAATGTCCTCGGGTGAAGATAAAAAAACAACAACAAAAAAAAGGAAGTGCGAGGACTGGGTGTCACTGGTGAAGCTGTGGGCATTCTGATCGTGTGGACTGACGGAATAGTTCAGAGACTCTTCCTTGGTCCCTATGTGGGAACAGGTGATAAGAGTGTGCTGGGTGGCCTGGCTGGTGTGGCTCAGTGGCTGAGCGTCGACCTTGCACCAAGAAGTTGCTGTTTGATTCCTGGTCAGGGCACATGCCCAGGTTGTGGGCCCTATCCCCAGTGGGGAGCACGCAGGAGGCAGCCAATCAATGTTCTCTCTCTCTCTCTCCCTTCCTTTCTCTCTAAAACCAATAAAGGAAAACAGAGAAACAAAAAAGAATGTGCTGGGTGTATAACTAACTTATAATTAGGATGGTACCTGAGGCTCAACCTCATCTCGATGTCGTGTCAGGTCCTGGGTCCAGGTGGGTCTCTGGCCTCCCACAGGGAGTCGCACCCTGCCAGGGGACTGTGCTGTGTGTCCAGTGAGCCTTTTATTCATGGCATGTTGGACCTGACGAGACAGTCGGGACTTCACTGAGCTCCTGGAACAGGCCGACGGACTGCTCTCTGCCTGCTTGGCCGACGTGTCTGTGTAGTGAGCGTGTCTGCAGAGCTCGCTCTGGCTCATGCCTTCAGGGTGCAGTGGCAGCCAGTCCTTCTCACCCTTGGCAGTGACAGAATGCCCCTCGGTGCGCAGCGCCTGCCTGGTTTCCCCGCGGCTGGGGTAGGCACAGCCCTGCTGATCTAAAAGAGGAACAGTGGGAGCAAGACTTACTTTTGCTTAAAAACTTTAGGAGGCCAGACGGCCTTCCGTATAGTTTGTTCAGATGACTGTGGAGCTCCTGCGTTTGATCTGCTGTGGGAAAGCGAACTTCTTACATATCCCTTGAATTGTTTACTCCTACTGAGCACAGTCGTCTAGAGCATTTTCAGTCCTGGCTTGTATTACAGTCCCTTTGAAGTCTGGGTCCACCCCTGGACTCTGATATAATTGGCTGGGTTGTGGCTTGGGCACCAGATGATTCTTCCCTGTGTCCTGGGTTAAGGGTTGGGCCCTAGATCCATAGTCACGTTAATGAGGCAGAAGGAGGTGTCCTCTTAGTCTTACTTTGCTTTGCAGGGGCACTGATGGTATCTGGACGCTTCCCTGGCTGGTGGCCTCTGGAGTTGGGGGCACACTGCCACATGGATTGATGGAACACCTTAGGGGTCACTGTTCTCACCTCTCTTGTGTGTTTAAACATGTATATACAATGATGTCACCAAAAGATGTCTCATAGGAGTTTTGCTTAAATAGAATACCCTGGTCTGGTTTTCGCATTCAATGGACAGTGACTTCATGTTGTTGCCGGAGCCTGGGCGCCAGAGCCCAGCCTTGTGTTCGGGTCGCAGCGCTGCTGGCCGTGGGAAAGGGGTCACCGCAGACCACTCTCGGCCCCCTTCTCAGCATCCTCATCTGCATGGCAGTGACGAGAAGGTGGGTTCCCGGAGCTCTGAGAATCAATGGCTTTATTGTGTGAAGCCCTTAATTCTGTGTTCTATAAATATCGGCCACTGTGATGACAGTAGCTGTTTTTGTAAAGCTGACATTGGCTTCCTATTAAGTTCCACCTATTGGCCCAAATTGTGTCTTCTGGAGTAACAGGGAATAAACCTGCTGCACCTGTGGGTCAGCAGACGCTTCTCTGAGTCTCCCACTCACAGCCCACTTGTGTGGCTTCCTCAGTTACCTGTCTCTGGGCTGAGCTTCCCCATCCAGGCTGGGCCTAGGTGAGCCAGTGAGCCCCCAGCACACACTTGTGCGACCTGAGGGTGAAGGCCCCTTCCGTCCGGCCCCAGGCGCCTCTCTCCCGCACCCCGGGCCTGGGCCTGTTGCGTACCTTGTCCCAGGCTGAGCAACAAATCCGAACATGTCACGGGGTGAAAAGGCTGTGTCCAGTCTGGGGTACCTGGGCTCAGGCTGTTGGGCTGACGGAAAAGAAAGGATGGGACAGGGAGAAAGCAAGTCTGGCCCAAACCCCATTACTTGTGATCCCACTGAATGCCTGATGCTGAGGCCACCTCCGGACCAGGTGTCCATCTGGCAGAGTCTTCCATCTGAGGTAGGGCTGCTTTGCAGCCCGGGGTTTTGTTGGCAAGGGTGAGCTCCTTTCAGAGCCGTGGCTCAGAACCTGTCTTCCTGGGCACCTGGGTGTGCACAGTCCCTCGGCTTAGATCAGGGTTGGAACCTCT